GAACTAGAAAGCTGAAACTTTAAGGGAATATTCCCCACTCACGTACGAGCAAAATCAGTTGTTTAGAGACGCCCGAGACCCAAGTACGCCACATGTGGGGGTTTTGGCGCGGGAATTATTAACTCGGGAAAGGAAAAAGCTAGAAAGCCGAAACTTTAAGGGAATATTCCTCACTCACGTACGAGCAAAATCAGGTGTTTAGAAGCGCCCGAGGCCCACATACGAGCAGGTGGAAATTTTGGCGCAAAAATCACTAACTCGGGAACGAAAAAGGCTAGAGGGCTGGAACGTTAGGATAATGTTCCCTACCCATGTGTGACCAAAATATTTTAAATTCAGCTCCTTGTAATTGCGTACGGACACATGAAAATTTTAGTGGGAAAAATACCAATTCGGGAACGAGACAAGCTGAAGGCTTTAATTTTAAGAGAACGTTCCCTACTTATGTGCGACTAAAAGATTTCAAATTTAACTCTTCTAGTGTGCCTTTTTTGCAGACCAGCACCTTTTCATTTGCCGGATCACTGAAGCCGACATCTGTAGCTGACATACCACATAGCTGCACAATTAACTTCCCGAACTTCGAGGCCCAGTATGTCACAGGTTTAGCTACTGTGATTCCTTGCGATCTTGTTACAGCACGAGAAGTGCAAAAACGCACAATCGCACCGGTCCGCCTTGTGCGTTCTAGCCTGGGTTTTCTTTCAAGCCTTGAATGGGCAACTGGTACCACCAAATAGTAGTAGAAATGGCCATGAAGGGAAGGAGCGAGGGAGGGGAAGGGAAGGGGAAAAGAAAAAATCTTGTTCACACTGAACGGTTCACGGTCAGTGATTGTATATTTATCTGGACTTTTTAACGTGCGTTCAGTTCTTTTGACTTTTCAAGATGCAACTTCTCAAACAAGCAGGAGCTTTGTCGCTGCTCGAAATCTTATTCAGTGCAACTACAATAATTGCTCTCACTGCATTTAGCGAAACGAATGCTCAATTATTGCCAAAATTGCGTTTTAATATTACTAATAATCTCAAAAAGGTCGTTTTACTCTTTTTTGCCAATGTTTTACAGTTGATTCATCTCAGTATGCAAGCATGCGTGTGGATATACGATATGCATGCATGCGATTGGTTGACTAAGAAGGTTAAATTGAAAGAGGGTCAGTGTGGCAGGAGGGGAGGAGGGGGTGGGGAACCGAAGCTCTGGAAAATATTTAATTTGGAAGAGGAAAGGTTGAGCGTATATCTGTTTCCCCGCGAAAAGTTAGAAGGAACGCTGATATGGACCTGACCTATTTAGAACTATGAATGAAGTCCCCTTCTCCAGACTCTTCCCTAATCTTGTTTTTATCGTGAAGATAGGCAAGCCTGCTTCAAAGTACAAGTTGCGCTCGGCAAGGCATGGCAGCACATACGGCGGGACTGATTTTCCATGGAAATGGAATATGGGCTAAGTAACTATTTTCCCCTTTCCGAACATTGGCACTGCATGTTCACTTTACTCTCTTCATTTTGAATAATTGCTCTTCTATGAAAAACAGTTTCCTTGTACTACTCGAGTAACTCAGTTTCTTGATAAAATTCGGCCAACTTTAGCCATCTGCTAATCAACAAACGACTGTAAAATTTCAAAGATTCTCGATTTCATAACATTAAATGCTTTCAGCTCAAAGGGGTAGAAGCGTTGGAAATAATCCGAATGCTGGTACTGGAAAACCAAAAACTGCAATTGCAGAATCTTAACCTAAAATCCGAAAACAACCAATTGAAATCAGCGGTACAAGAAGTGGATGTGAATTGGGCAAACGTCGGAATTTTGCCCGAAGAGCCTGATGATTTTTTTGACGACGATGTCGGAACTACTTCCCTACCAAAATCGGGAAAAACAGATGTACAGATCGCTGGCAACAGCGACTATAAATTCCTTCCTGATTCCACTGATGCCACAACCGAGGCTGTTTCACTAACAGCGTTGGAGAAATCTATTAAACAAGCGAGTGTTACAGCGTTACCAGCAATGAATGGAATATTACGCTCGTCTATTTACAGTGCAAGTTCCGTTCCTTCGCGATCCAAAAGTGACTGGGATATATTCAAAAAAGGACTGAAGAAAGTTTTCAGTCTGAGAAAAACAAAATCAATGAAGTGATACAAAAAGCTCTGAAATGATAGAGTAGCAGTATGTATGTGTTTCAAGCTTTACTCATAAAGTATCTTATTAGCGTTACAGCGTGAACAAATAGAGCAGCATTAAAATAATTGGCCAACGCACGAGCTGCCCGTGCGAAGATGCGTTTTTTGCAGAGTTCCCCGCAGTTTT